GCACCCAGCCTGTCCTTCCCTTTCACCAGCAGGCTCAGGACAGAGACACTTGACAAAAGTGTGTTAGACTCGACTCTGCACAGGACACTGAGCTCAGCACTCAGGGCCACCAGGAACCAGGCATCTACCCTTAAAAGGCTTGACAGTTGGGTAAGGCTTCAACAGAAAGGAGCACAACATGATAGGGGCAGCCCAGACCCGGCAGGAAGAGCCCTCGGCTAAGAGAACGTGGGGAAGTGTGTACACAAGAGGTGCACACAAATGAGATTTTATTAGAAAGGTTGGCTTTGGTTTGCAAGGGTGGAGAAGGAGTGTTTTAGTCAGCTTTCTGACATCTGCAAAACATCTGACACCTGCAAATTAAGGGAGGCGAGATTTATTTTAGCTTATGGCTTCAGAGGGTTTGGTCCATGGTTGGCTAACATAAGGTAGAAACATTATGACCGAAGGTCTTGGTGGAGCAAAGATACTCACCTCAAGTTGTCCAAAGCCTGACAGAAAGAGAAGGGAGGAGCTAGTGACAGGAATACACCCTTCCATGCGTCACCTCCCATGACCTTCTTCCTCCAGCCAGGCCTGATGTCCTAACAGCACATTCGGCTTTGAACTCATAAATGGATGAACTTGTTAGTGCCCCCATGAACCAATCACCTTCCAGAAACCTCTGAACACATGAGACTTTTGGGGGCCATTTAGCTCTAAATTACAACAGGAAAGCGACTGCCATTTAATCCAAATGGCAACAGGAAAAAAGCTCAGGTCAGTGGTGGACCCCACCCACAGCAAGTTTTCAAGCACATCCTGTGTGTGTGTGTGTGTGTGTGTGTGTGTGTGTGTGTGTTTCTGCCTGTCTGTCTGTGTGTCTGTCTGTGTCTATGGTGGCACTAGGGATTGAAACCTGGGCTTTTGCACTTTGCACTGAGCTATCGCCCCAGACCGTTTCATTCTTTTTATTTTGAGATAAGTTCTCAATAGTCAGCCCAGCTCAGGCTGGGCTCCAATTAGCAATCCTCCTCCCTCAGCCTCTTAGAGTGCTAGGATTACAGGCATGCACCACCATGCCTGGCTGCTCAAGAGATTCTCCACGATGCTCACAAAGCAAGAGCATCCTTCCTTTCCCACCATTTACACAGCTGGTAAGGCAGATACAACAGTGTTAGGGTTTGGGTCCCTGGGTCCCCAGTGCTCTCAGGCCCCCTACTTGCAAGCCATACGACTAGAGTATGAATCAGCTCCTCAGCTGTGAAATGGGGTCATGACCATACACTACCCATCCACTGCGGTGATCACCAAGCCTACTAGTACAAGCACTGTTCAGCTCAGTTTCCCCATAGTTAGTGCTCAACAAATGGAAGCTCCTGTTATAATTGCTTATTACAAGGGTCTCCTCGTCTGGCTTCTGCCTGGCTCTTCTGTGCCACGTTGCTCCTCCCAGCCCCCTTCAGTTGGCTGAGCTGCTTTCTGACCTTGGCATTTGTCCACACGTCAAATTACGTGGTATGGCGAGGAGACCTTATTGTGTGACATCTGAACTGTTGCTCACATGTTGTTTACAGAATTTATTTAATCATATTGGACACTGAAGGAAACCTAATGCTCTGAAATGAAATCCTAAATATTTTCTGTCTCAGTCAGGGTTGTCGTTGCGGAGACACAATACTCAGGACCCATAAAGCAAAGGAGGAGGGGCACGCGGAAGGGTCTGGGAGGAGAAAGCTGCTCCGGTCATCGCGGGCAGGAAGCACAGCGCGTGAAAGGGAAGGGAGACGCAAACTTCAGGCTACACCCCCGGTGACTGAGCCTTCCAGCCGGACCCCACCTTCTCACAGCAAGTCAGCGCTTGGCCCCCATGACCCTCTCAGCTTCTGAAAGGCCTGCCTGAGCCCACGAGGCTCCTGGGGGCATCTAGAGATAAGCCAGGACATAACCTTCAAATAGAAGCATGAGTAGTTACTCACAAGATTGCTGTCTTTTCTCTACAGTTCACACTGCAAACTGAGGGACGGTCACAGGCAGCTCTGGCCACCGCCAGCTGTTCTGCTCCCGTGCTTCCCAGGAGAAAGTCTTCCATCCAGAACGAGCAGAGCAGGGCAATCATGTAGCTGAGCAGGTAACAGCCGTGCGAGAAGCTGTGTACTGTCTTTTAGAAGGCCAGCTTTAAAGGTCAAGGGGGTGGAAGTCTTCGTAAAGGAGGGAAAAATGTCAACTATGTTGCTGTCGGCAGGAAAAGGAATCTACTCCTCCACCAGCAAAAACGCCTAAACTGCTCTTTCCGAGCCCCGGCACTCGCTTGTAAGGCTTGTTGGCAAGTCCAAAAGAATGTGCACTCTCTGGGAAACGGCCGTATACATTTTGTGTGACCTCAGACTCCTTTACCAGATGTGTGTGAGCTGCTCTTCCTCACACTGCATATCTGAAGGAACGTTTCATCAATTAAAACTTCTCCTGTCCCTTTCCTATACCCTCTCCCCACATCAAGAATGGTGAAAACACCTGAATTCATTCCTTCATCAGACACAAAAGCTATACAGCTGCACGTCTTAGCAGCTGTTCTACACTCCCCAAACCGTCCTGGTAATTACTGTTTTTGTTTCACGTCTCTAAATACTTTTATCTCTCAAACCTCACTATGAGGTCCTGACCTGGCCCTACCCATCCCGGTACCAGCTAAACATTTTTTTTGTGAGCTTCTGTGGTTTAAGGCACTGGGCAATTCTCCAGTGCACCAAGGAGCTCAGATTCTTGCCCATAAACACATTCATATATTTTAGGAATATGGTTCCACTAATTCATCTATCTGTCCATGTGTCTACTGATCTATCCATCTATCCACCAAGTTAGTAAACATTGTAAGAATTTGTGAATTAAAATTATTGTGAAATGTGAGTGGTATATACCTGCCAAAGAACAGAATTTACTTGCAATTAAATGCCAGTGTTGTTTTCCAGCATTTATTAACTCCTCCCTTAGCAAGTCAGACAAGCAGAGTTCTTTCAGGTGGGGATACTCAGAAAATTTTTCACTTTGAGAACCTCTGAGCTTTGAAATTGAAAGTAAGTCAGATGTGGTGGTGCGTGCCTATACCCTCAGCACTCGGGATGCTGAGGCAGAAGGACTGCTGTGAGTTCAAGGTGAGTCTGGACTACATAGTGAAGTCAAGGCCCGCCTGAACTGCATAGCAAGACCCTGTTTTAAAAAAACAAATAAATAAATTGAAGGTAAGTTGGCAAAATAACTTATATGTCATGAAAAAGTAGGGATATTAAAGAGAAAACAGATGCATTTTCAAATGCATATCAATTAATGTATTTGCTTTATTCTCACATACAGTAATGATAACAGAAAACCCAAAGTCAAGAAAGGAGCTCAGGGGCTGGGGATTTAGCTCAGCGGCACAGCACCTGCCTGGCAAGTGTGATGTTGTGAGTTCGATTCCTGGTACCGGAAAAAAAAAAAAAAAAAGGAGCTCAGTTTTCTCTGCAAATATGATGTCATAAAGGGGTTTATAGTCTAATTTGGGGCTGTATAGGTGATTGGCATTTTGTTACTTGTTTACGACACTCAGAAAGTTTTGGATTTTGGAGCGTTTCAGATTTCAGACTTTCAGATTAAGGATGCTCAGCCTGAAATGAACATGGTCTGTACATAATGTAAAAATAAATATTTTGCACTACCCAAAAAGGACTGCACTTTTCACAAATTACCAATTTTACTATTAATCCATATTCTATCTCAATAAAATTCCTTGAAATGCATTACATTCAACCTGTGTTAGATAATGACCAATACAATATGTAAAAACCTAATTGTGTAAGAGTACTATTCTAGATTTTCTCAAATGCTAGTTGTTATCAAAGGCCCTACATACTTTCCAAGAAAATGATGTATTACTTGATATGTAGCCTACTCAATTCAGATTCCTCAGGAAGATACACAGAGCACGGTCATTCCTGGGTTCTCACCACTCATTATTTAAGCTGTCAATCTTTTTTAAAGTCCAATTTACCACCTTGGTCATCTTGAGGCTCGGTAATGAAACTGTTTCTGCTGTCTGAGACGCTGTTCCTGTTAGGATTTCTATTGGTAGAACAGCAAAATGGTTTAGCCCAACACTTTGTCTGAGTTACTAGATATAAGCTATCTTCTATTTATATATACATCTATGAATACACACGATGCATGGGTACACACAGATCTCTGGGAAAATGATACAAAGACAATGATCAGAAACTGGATAAACGATATTTCAGTTAACTGTGCAGGTGTTGCAGTTTTTAAGGCTGAGCCACTGCCCCAGAGAACTACATCTACCCACACACCATTGGCCAGAGTTCATAGGAAGTCAGAAGAAGAAATGGTAGTGATTCCCTCAGCTCAGTCCCATGTTCAGGAAAAGAAAACTATTCAGTGGCACCACTTCTGGGAATGTCGGGAGCAGAGGTTCTCATAGGCACGCTGTGGGTCGGATGTGGTCTGGGTGGCCCTCAACAGCCCCCTGTGACCGAAGGCTTTGGTCCCCAGGGTGGACTGTTGGGAGGCATGGAGTGAGGCCCAGGGGAAGTCAGGGGGTAGTGCCCTTGGGAGGTAGCTCTTAGTGACCCACCGAGTTCCCCTGGGCACCTCTGCAAGCAGCTGGTCTTTCCTGCCCTCTCTGCATCTGCTTGGAGTACAGGTCTTTTCCATTCTCTCCTGTCTCCCACCCCCTGTGCTGCCTTTGCCAGCTGCGCCTGAGCAAGGCGGGACACACACACACACACACACACACACACACACACACACCTCCTCACCACAGAGCCTGTGCTGTGACAATTACACCTTGAACTCCAAAAGTATGAGCTAACTAACCCCTCCCTTCCTCAGTAGCCTGTCAGCTATTTCATCACAGTGAGCCAGAGTCAGTAGAGAGCTCAGCCCCAGAGGTGGGGTCAGTGACTAATGCAGTGAGGACACTATATATAACGGCTCTGGGGGAGCACAGCACCGTGTGGGTTCCAACGTCCATGGCGAAGCTTACTGGACTGCTGGTAGCCCCTGGGGGCCTTGTGACCCTCAGAGGGCACAGCCACTCCAGTGGAATGGTGCAGGTGTGGTGCCTACTTTTCCCTCCCGGGGCGGAGCTGCACCAGGCTTGGGCAGTCTTCCTGCAGGGGAACTGGGAAGCTGGCGGAGCCCTGCGCCGCAGAGCCCGATGGGGCGGGACGGGGTTTCCCGAAGAGCAGTACGAGTACCCGACACCTCAAGACACCTGGATCTCTCTTGTGCTTTCCCAGGCCTAGAGTGCCCTCCCACAGACTCACCAACAGCTCCCCGTCACCCCTCCAGAGCGTGTTCCTCGCCTCTCTGAGGAGGACAGAGCCACCGGGACATTCCGCTCCTACTGGAACCCACCTGTTAATGTGCAGTCTTGCTCGCACTCTGGATACTCTGAGAAGAGGGGAATTTTCACCTACACCGGCGCCCGCAGTGACTACACTTGTCATTCAGTGTAGTCACCGCCACATTCTGGAAAGCCCCTTCGGTCACCAGCGGAGCGAGAGGGTGAGCTCCAGAGAGAACGGATGGGTAAACAAGTGACATAACGGTGACCCTACGGCCCAACGACCTTGTGAGGCGGAGGGAAGAGCTGTGACTGCCGGCGTGAACTCCACGTCCCTACCGTGTCCTGACCCCCCTTTGCCACTGTACCCTGCTGACCCCTGGTCACTCCCTCTCAGCACCTGACTCACGAAGCACCTGTCCACCCCGGTCCCACCATCACCTCGGAGGAGTCCAGGGACTCCGTGAACGATTATTCAGGCCACAAAGCGTCCTCGTATTCTCACCTCCCGCAGTCTTTTCCTGTACCCCATGTCACGTCTGGGCCTCATCTCCCAGCTCCCTAGAGCACGCGCTGGTTCCCTTCCCACCCCGCTGGTTCAGTTCCACCCCTGCTCTGTGACTGCCCCGTTACTGCCTCTTTTCCTGCCTCAGCCCACCTGTCCCCTCCTGTCTTCATTCCCCAGTGTCCATGGCATCACACCCATAATACCCTCTGTCGCTGGGATGAATTCCACTCCCTGCTTTACCTGCCGCTGGCATCTCCCTGCAGACCGTCCACTGGGATGGAAGAGACAGCCTGACTATCACCCTCAACCAGAATATCATCCTAGTTCTGCTCTAACAGAACACCACAGATGGGGGTGGTTTATGAAGAAAATGTTTCCTTGGCTCATGGTTCTGCAGGCTGGGAAGCCCAGGAGCCCAGCGAGAGCATCTATCAAGGGTTTCATGCCCCACTGTCTCACGGCAGAAGAGCAATGGCCAAGGAACCTCCCCTGGACATGAGGGGCGGGCTTGCTCTACAGCAACCCGCTCTCACGGTAATGAAGCTGCTCCCAAAGTCATGACGGTCGTTCATGAGGCTCCACCCCCAGGACCCGCACATCTCTCCTGGCAACCAAGCTTCTGACGTGAATGTGGGGGACACATCCAGATGACAGCAGGCATCCACCCGCCCTTCGATCCTACTGTGCTTCTCAGGGGACTCTCTCCCTGACACCGCAGCCTCCTTTCCCCTCACTCATCTCTTTCTCAGAGAAAACAAAGATCATCAGACAGAAAACGATGCAGTCCCTCGCTACAGCTGCGCACCTCCTCATGCATAGCTGCAACCCCTGCCCTCTACTGTCGATTTCCAGGTTTCCCCGCCCTCCTGCCCTGCAGCCCCCTCAGCAATCCCATACAGCTGCTCTTCCCTCTTTGCTCTTGTATGTCAAGGGACTTTCTCTCAACTCTGACCACACCACCAGCATATATGCAGACAGTAATCTCTTCCCTTCATCACAAGCCTCTCTGGCTACCTGCGGCCCCGTGCTGCCCCTAAACAGCTAGAACAAGACCTCAGCCACGCCTCCATTTCTTCCCTTCTTCCTCCTCCTTCGGCTGGGTTCCTCTGACATCCCCACACAGCTCCTGCTGAGGGCACCGCCATGGGCTGTGCTGTGACTCTCGGGGTGTGTCTGGAGCGTTCCCCGTGACACGCCAGCAGCGTCTGCGGCTCCTGACCCCATCTGCTTAGAGCACCTCCTCTCCTTTGAATTCTGGGATCCTACACCCATGTGCGCTCCTCCTTGGCTGCACTCCTCTTTCTGGGCTCCGCTCCTCTCCTCGGTCTCTACTGCGACAGCTGACGTGACTCTTCCAAGTCCCTGGGCCCCTTTCCTTCTCTCAGTGATCTCACCCACACTCACGCTTCATTACCATTTACAGCAGGAGGAACTGGGCCGCCAAAGATGTTGAAGGTCTAAGCCCCAGGACCTGTCCGTGTGAACTTCTTTGGAAACTGGATCTTTGGTGATAATAAAGTGGGTCCTAATCCAGCGTGACTACATCCTTATAAAAAAGGAAAATTTGAACAAAGACAGCCATACACAGAGGGATGACGATGCGAGGACACAGAGAAGAAAGCAAGAAGAGTTGGGCATGATGGTGCACACTTGTAACCCCAGCACCTCGGAGGCTGAGGCAGGATGATCACTGTGAGCTTGAGGCCAGCCTGTGCTAGATAGTGAGTTCAAGGCCAGCTTGAACTGCAGGCGTAGTAAGACCCTGTCTTAAAAAGCAAAAACAAAAACAGAAAGAAAAAAAAGATAGGAAGGAAGGAAAGGAGGGAAGGAAGGAAGGAAGGAAAGAAGGAAGGGAAGAAGGAAGAAAGAAAGAGAGAAAGAGAGAAAAGAAAGAAAGAAAGGCAAAACCCCTGTGATGGAAAAGCACTTTGTGTGGTAAAGGAAACGAAAGACCACTGGGGTGGTCCGGGCCCTGGGGGCATTGATACAGCACCTCTTACATGGTCTCCTGCCTCTCCCTCCTACAGGCAGGAAACTATGGCCTCTTCCTCCCTGGAGTTGTCAGTGAGCAAGGAAATAGCCCATGATCTGAGTGGAATTTCCAAGAATGTGGATTAGGCTAGGGTATGAGAGGGTGCCAGTGACAGCTAGAAGTTTTAAGAATTAAAACTTTTTAATTCTTAAAAAGAATTCTCTTTTTCTGCTGAGACCAAATAAGAACCATACTGCATTGTGTTTAATGGACTAGGATATCTCATATTGTCAATATTGTGTGTCAAATCTTCCCAAAGGGACCTACAAAGGCTACATGATTGCAAAATCCACAAGAGTTAAATTTTTGGCAGAACACAAGACTCGGCTTCTAAAATACATGGTACCTAAAATAGCTAAAACAACCCTTTAAAAATTGTATACATGATTTTGAGACTTATACAACTATAGTTACCAAGAAAGCCAGCTATTCATTGAAAGATGGAAAATGGATGATTAAACAGAATAGAGCCTAGAAATAGACTCATAAATATATGGTTAATTGATTTTCAACAAAAGTGCGGAGAGATCCACTAGAAAGCGTATTTTTTTCAGCAAATGGTTGTGAAACAGATGGACATTTACATGCAAAACCATGAACCACCATCCAGATCTATATGTAAAAATTAACTCAAATTGGATCATAGACCTAAACGCAAAGCTTACATATATATAAAACCATGCCTAGGAAGAATAATTGTGATCTAGGGTGAGGCAAAGATTTCATAAATGTAACAACAAAGTATACAATATGTAAAAGAAAATAATTGACACATTTTATTTCATCAAAATTAACAACTTCTGTTCTTTGAAAGACACTGTAGTAAAATGAAAATTTAAGCCACAGGCAAGGGAAAAATATTTGGAAATCACATATCTGATAAAGTTCTTTTATCTAGATTATATTTAGAAAAACTCTCACAGTAATATGAAAATAGCCGTACTGAAATGAGCAAAAGATTTGGACAGACATTTTAAGAAGGAAGATGTACAGATGGCAAAATAAAAACATGAAGAATGATCAACATCATTAATCATTCAGGAAATGCAAATTCAAACCACTCCAAGGCACTACCGCATATCTGCAGAATGGCTAAAATTTTTAAAACTGGTGACAGCAAGCAGAGTGGAAAATGTAGAGTCACGGGAGCACTCACTGCTGGTGAAGTGGTACAAAGATTGGGAAAATACTTCAGCAGTTCCTTAAAAAGATAAAGATCCCCATCCCATGAGCAGGCTTTCCATAAGCAGGCATTACCCCCAAAAGCGAGAAGGCAGCGTCCACTTGTACATGCTAGCTGACTAAAGCAGCCGTGCTTGTGTCAGTCCCAACTGGAAACACATCAAATGCTCATTCAAGGGAGAACTGGGTAAACAGTACAGCAGGTGAAGTAGCACGAAGACGTGAGCTTGTCATGCACAGCACATACTGATGGATTTCAAAGTCGTCATGTTGAGCAAAAGAAGTCAGAACAACAGCAGCCAAAGAGTGTGTGCTGTGCAATTCTTCTTATTTACAATTCTGGGAAATGCCAACTAGGGATCGGTGATAGGGAACAGGCTAGAGTTTGCCTGTGGATCATCAGGGGAGAAGTGGATCATCAGGGGACATAAGTGCACTACGTACGTCTAGTCATGATGCACACGATCGTTGTTTTGACTATGACGGTCACCTCACTGATATATGCATAAGTCAAAATTTACCACATTTTATGCTCTAAATGTGGGCAGTTATGGCGTGTCTGTGATACCCCAACAGACACAGAAAAGCAAAGATAAAACAAAAATGGACCCTATATCTGCTTGTGGAGGACCACCGAGGAGACTATTCTTGAAGGAGGAGCCATTGTCTCCATTTCTACTAAACTCAGCCCTACTTCCATGTACTGATGGTGCAGAGCTGGCTAGGACTTTTCCTTATCCCTTCAATTGGCTCCAAGCAATGCAAATCGGTCCAGCTGAGGTGCTGACATGCAGTCTTTGAAGCAGTGTGACAGGGCAGTGTTTCCCCACCTCCCTAACTCCCCAATAAAACATGTGAGCCAGGGAAGGATGGGGAGCCACGCTCCATGCTGTCAGCTGGGATCAAGCCTCAAGATAAGAGGCCATGACTTCTCAGGGCACAAAAGATTACATATCAGAGCTGAGGCACCGACCCCAAAACATCACATACTACCTCAACTGTGTCATGCAAATTACTCCTGCATAGCCTTTTCTCTGCATTTTGCAGACTTGACTTCAGTTCACCTACCTAGCCCATGCCAGGGCACTCACGTACTTCCCGCCATTCGCACAGCCAGTCATCCTCAAGACACTCCCTTTTTTTTTTTTTTGTTTTTTTGAGACAGGGTCTCACTATGCAGTTCAAACTGGTCTTGAGCTCACTTTGTAGCCCAGGCTGGTCTTGAACTCGCAAGGATCCTCCCGCCTCAGCCTCCCGAGTGCTGGGTTTACAAGCATGCGCCACCATGTCTGGCGACACTCCCTTCTTCACAAAGTAATAAAACCTGGGTTCAGCCCCAGGTCGAGGCATTTGTTCTGGCTAGCCATTATTGTGGCTGGATTTAGGGCCCCTCAGCTCCCCATGGCTACAAATGCGCCTTAGTGTCTTTGCTCCCGCCATGGGTTGCACTGGAAGCGGTAACTGGAATGAACTCGCTAGAATTCCAGTAACTTTTCCATGGGATTACAAATATAAACTTCTCGGACCAAGATGAGGACTGGGAGTGGCTCTGTCTATCTGCTCATAACGTTTTTAGTTTAAATTAAATAGCTTAATAGGGAAAAATAAATGTTTTTAAGAGTTCAGTTTTCTCAGGCTTGTGACCGATCCTTACAAAGGGAAGGGCAATTAAGATGTGTTCTGTGTGTGTACCAACCTCCCACGACGGATGTAATCATTATCTACTACAAACGCTTACTAATAAAAACAAACATTTAAATTTTTTTAAAAAGAGTGATCAAAACCCCAGAAGGAATATGGGTTATTCCATTTGTCACCGTTCCCTAGGGGAATGAGGCACAGCAAGGCTCCCTGAGAGGCATTTTCATACCCATAAAATGGTAACAACCGCACCTACTTACAAGGGTATAAGGTGGGACTGAGACGATTATATGGGTCCTTACAAGGCAGAAAAGGGAGACAGGAACGTCAGAGACGTGATACCAGGCTCAGAGGCTGGACTGATGTGATCGCTGGCTTTAAAGATGCAGGAAGAACTAGAAGCCCAAGTTTGTGGGGACCCTAGAAGGTGGAAAAGGAAGTGAAATGGGTTCTCCCCTAGAGCTCTAGAAGGTTGGCACCCTGCCAACCCCGATGACCCCAGGACTGTAAGATAATGAACTTGTGTGTCAGCCACAAATTCATGGTAATTTGTTGCAGCAACAGGAGGAAGTGAATACATCACCTCCTCCTTTCCTCAAAGACTGTTACAGTTTGTTCTCTTCCCGAACAAATATCCTGATTGCTATGTGCCTCACAGCTAGCAGATGAATCTGCTAAGCTGTCTTTGTAGCTCACCACGTACTTGGAGTCCTTCTTTTAAAATGAAGCTCAGCCCTGAACTGGTGGCGCACACCTGTAATTCCAGGCGCTTGGGAGGCCAAAGCAGAAGGATCACAAGTTTGAGGGCAACCTGGGCAACTTAGTGAGACCCTGCCTCAAAATAAAAATTTTTCAAAGGGGTGGAGATCCAGCTTAGAGGGAGAGTCCTTCCCTCACAGGTGAACTGGGGTTTAATCTCCAGTACCAAAAAAAGAGGAGGGGGAGGGGAGGAGGAAGGGGAAGGGGAGGGAGAAAGGGTGAGGGAAGGAAGGAGGAAGGGGAGGAGGAGCAGGAGAGGAAGCTTACAAATAAGACCCCCTTCACTTAGGGACCCAACCAGCACTAGGAAATAACAGGCTAACTCTTCCTCCAGAGTTGAAGCAGCCTCACCCTTTAGAAACTAACTTGTATCAGAGTTTTTTCTTCACTGGCACTTCAATGCCTTTCTCACTATCCCCTGCAGTTAGTGCACACGTAAATCCTTTGCTCTCAGTTTAAATTAGTACACTAACACCACCGCTTCCACTTTTCTGCCTTTTGTTACCTTGTGAGTTTTTCAGTCGTTTTGGGGAAAGAGAATCAAAACTGTTCAGATTGCAAAATCTGGTTGATCTTAAACACAAAAACGCCTACCAGGAAAAGATGAAAATACATGACCCCATATTTTTATCTCAAAGGAAAAAAGCTCAGTTGGTCTTAAGATTGCATCTGTTTTGAGTTGGAAACTGGCCTTTTAGGGCCACCTGCCAAAGTCCACCCCTCTCATTGGCTTCCCATCTGCTCACGATTCATTTCAAGTTATCAGCATAATCAATGGTCTAAAAATAGGCCAGAGATAATAAGTTTAAAAGCCCAGGCCCGGTGGCGTTGACGGTAATGAGATTCATCACAGGACAAAGCAGAACCTTGCTTGTATCTAAGTAAGCCAAACCAGAAAAGAACAAAACAGTCTGATTTGTATGTATTCAAATACTACACCTTTTTTTGTTTTTCTAGGGATAATAGTAATCAGAAGATCAGCTATGTCTGATAAAAACTTTTAACATAATGCTTTGCAGTTTAGCAAACACAAAAGAAAGGTTGCTATATATTGTTAAGGCTTTATGGCCACCAAGGTTTCTCAACTTTGGCATGCTGACAGTTTAGATAACATGAGTGCTGATTTGGGGGCTGCCCTGAGCACTGTGGGGTATTCAGTGCCATCCCCGCCTCTCCACTAGGTACCAGAGGAAAACTCATCCCCAGCTGAGAATCCTAAGCTAACCAACTCACCTGTTTAATAACAATGAAAGCACATGCTCTGTGGTGGTGCTATGTGGAGTTTCAATATTTAATCTTCCTTTGACTCTAACATGTAGGCTTTGCTTACAAGCTATTTTCTCCATACGCCCAAAGATCTGTAGGGAAAAAAAAAAATCTGTAACCTTCTGACTACTAAAATTCTACTCTAAACTGGAAGTGGTGGCGCACGCCTGTAATCCCAGCACTCGAGAGGCTGAGGCAGGAGGATCACTGCAAGTTTGAGGCCAGCCTGGGCTACAAAGTGAGCTTGAGGCCAGCCTGAACTACACAGTGAGACCCTGTCTCAAAAAGACAAAAATAAAATAAAATTCTACTCTGTTATTTCCAACAAGTAGTGCTATTTATTCCTTTATACTCAGACTCTCATTTTGCAAAGCTGGTGAAAAAACCTTCTATATTCATTTTATCCTCTTGTCATTATTCCGTGCTGCAGATCAGAAGATGCCAACATCTCCCACCTGCCCCCATGAGTGTGGGTTGGTTGGATCCATTCCCAGGTCGGAGCTAAAAGGTGCCTCCCTGGTGGTGCCGGCCAGTCCTGCTGCAGAATCTCCTCTACCATGTCTCTGTCCTCCTTCTGCTAGCATGTTCTGCCTTTATCAAAGATGACCTCATCCTTAGCGTCCACTCCCATGGCTCTCTGGAGCCATGGCAGGAGAGGCCCTATTTCTCCTCCACACGGGGCTCCTGAGGACCTTGACATTCTATTCTGGCTACCCCAAGGTATCTTTTAAACTTGTACCAACTGACAGCAGCCCCCAGAGGGCTTTTGCCATAGACTTGCTCAAAAATACTTCTGTGGACCAGTCCATGTCCCTAATATTTTCAGAAGAGTGTTTCTATTCAAAAAATTTTCCAAGTTGGATGTGTGTGTGTGTGTGTGTGTGTGTGTGTGTGTGTGTATGGTACTGGGGAGTGAAGCCAGGAACTTCTGAGCTACATCCTCAGCCCTTTTTAAATTTAATTTGTAGACATATCTCATTAAATTGCCCAGATTGTCCTCATATCTGCAATGCCGTGTCAGCCTCCCAAAGTAGCTGGGATTACAGAGGTATATTGCCAGGTCTGTTTTAAGTTGGAACTTGAAGTATCAGAAATGTATCTCCTTTACTCCCAAACTGCAAGAATAACAATATCCCCATGACAAGAACAGGCTCTGACAAGTTCCTGCCTGGCAAGTGCAAGGTCCTGAGTTCAATTCCTGGTACAAAAGAAAAAAAAAAAAAAAAAAAAAGAACAGGCTCTGACTCCAAAGCACATGATGGTCACATCCTAATCAGAAAGAAGGATGTTTCATTTTAACTCTTGTTACGCATCCAAACACAAAACAAGGAAAGAGTGAAGCAGCCTAAAACATATCTAGCACCTCCCAGACGTCAGGAGGTAGGGGGATCACTCACCCACAGGTGGCTGCACCCCCTCACATGGTGTTTTGAATCTAGTAAGAGTCTAACTGCATATCGAAATCTGTTGGCCAAACACTTGATTCCAGCCAAAAATTGCCTAAATCCTGACTGACCCAAGGCGGGTGGTTTGCGGCTAGATAAGGAGTTCTGTGGGGAAACACCTTCTGAGACTCCCTTGGAAAGTTAGCCCTTGCTTTCCCTCCCCCTGGCCAAAGCGTTTCTGATGTAAATTCTGACATAGCTGCCCCCGTGGGCTTGGATGGATGGTCTGAGAACGCAGTGCAGGTAGCCTGTGGGTGCGGCCTGGGCAGGCTAAAGGCACACAGTGTCAGTTCTCCGGCTGAGAGTGACCGTCACGGAATCGGACACCAAGCCCTTGCCATTGGTGAGAGGATATCAGGGGGCCTGTGTGAGGCGAGAATTTCCTCAAATTTGCAGACAGGCCGCATTCCCATGAATGTGTGCACCGGACAGTACGTGTGTTTGTCTGCACATCACATTCCAACAATAGCACTTTAATACCACTTATGTCCACCGCAGACTCTTTAGTAGTGGATCAACTAAAAAACTTAATGAAAATGTCAGCACCCGTGTCAAAGACACCACTGGAAACTTGGGCCTTGGACAGCAAATGTAACTGAACAGACCCTGCCATGTTCTGCCCTTCCATGCCAGGGAGCAAGCTGGGAACCTAAGCTACCAGGAAGGCCCAGGCTCAGGCTGCGCTGTTCACACGCTGTTCATGGCCTTCATCATAGCAGGGTCTTTGTTTTCTGAGGAGCCACTGAGACTGTTGACTCTTGAAACCTCATCTTTTCCACTGCTTTTGTTTTTTCTCTAAAAGCCCAGGGGCCCCTTCCTGGCCTTGGCCCTGTCACTGGAACATACCAAGGAGGTACCCAGAGCACAGAGCTGAAAATGGTAACAAGTCACCCTTGAGGGTGCAGCTGTTTTAAGTGGAAATTCCTGCACACAGTTGCAAACAATGTACTAGCAGCTGACGGCTCTGTAGCTCCTGCCATGTGCAGGACAGGGTCAGATGCACTTCATATAGTGTGCTGGAGTAGCCAGCAGCCAGCTGACTGGGGAAATCTACCCAGCGTCTCCCAGCACCCTGTAACCAAACGTGACTGCATCCCTGAGATCCTGCTAGTGGGACATGGACTACAAAGGTGGGTTTGCCATGGAGCTATCGAATCTTAGGTTGCTTTGAAGCCCTAGGCGGGGCCTCAGGGCCTCTGCATAAGATGCTCATCAACTTCTGTTGGGGTAATTTCTTCCTAAGAACATCATAAGTCAAAAATTCACTATTGGAAATCAAAAATACATGTGACCCCCTGAACATCACTACTCAGCCTAGCCCACCTGGGGTGTATTCAGAACACCTACATTGGCCTAATATTGGGCAAAACCATCTAACACCGAGTCTCCTTTATAATACAGCACCGAATATCTCATGCAGTGTATCAAAAGCCTTGTCTAGAGAACAACGGCAACGTAGCACACTGCAGAGTAGGTTGCTTCCCCTCGTGACTGCGGGGCTGAATGCCAAGGGAAAATCCAAATTCAAAATTCCACGTATTCTACCTGTTGGATGCCTATCGCCTGCGCATCTTTGTAAATTCAAGAGACCACAAGCGGAACTATTGTAAATCAGAGACCTGTATCCCTTTGTTCCCATACGTATCCTTGAAACACAACCCCTAAGTCACATTGTCTTCAGGCGCCCTCTCATCTGAACCCCTCCTGCACTTTCTCCCTGCCTATGGCTGCAATGCCAAAGCCCAAGTGGCTTGAAAGATGCAATGCCATCATTAGCCTAGATCCCTCAGGACTCATGGAACAGTGCCATCCGCCACCAGCAGCACCAACCAGGCACATCTGCCCTGGGACGTTATCTTACGTATTGGTCATTTCATGTAATCATCACATGCCTCATGCTCCTCTGAAATACGAGGTCCAGTGGTGTTAGACTCTACCTCCTGGATGCTGACGGAGGCAAAAGACCACCTGGGGGTAAGCGGCCACAGCGGAGCCCAGCTTTGCCCCCGCTACTAAGAACCCAGACTTGAGGAGGGTCAGGGAGTGTTCTGGGCTTCGGTCACCTCACTGCGAGAGGGTCCGGTGACTCTCCGACTTTATAGGTTGCTCTAGGTCTAGATAAAATAATCCATGTACGGTAGTTAGAGCAATCGACACACTCACTCAGTGACTGCAGCTCTACATGTATTTCATTAAAGACCAAATGATGAGTTCCACTTACCACTGAACCTCACGGAAGATTCTTCTTCTCAAAAACTAAATTTCACCCCTTTCGCCACCCCACTTGGTGCCCACAGTCTTCCCAATCTGATATCTTATAGACGGAGGCCACTGTGGGGTGCGCATTCCATTCTCTTGGTGCTGTGGACTAAAAGTTCATAAACTTCTTGAATTATTTTCCTGAAAGAACATGACCTTTGGTCACACAGCCTGTATCAGTCAGTTTCCTGTTGCGGGCCATGATACCAGACACCCACAATTTAAAGGTGGGGAGGTTTAATTGGCTTGCATTTTCAGTCTATAACTGGCAAATGCCAAGGCAGGAACACTATGGGGAAACTGCTCAGTTCATGGCGGCCCGGAAGCACAGCAGGGAAACAGTGCTACAGCAGGGTCGAGAGACCGGACATGGACCTCATGGCCACTCTTCCGCGACCCACCCTGACACAGCCAAATTGTGCTCCACCAACCCCAGGGCAGGCACTCGTCCTAACCACCACACAGGCACTCTGCACTGTGCCAGCAGTTCTGACCCTTGCTCTTCCTCCTCACTAGTGTTGCCATGGAGACTAGCTGCAGCAACAGGTGGAGGGAAAGGATGAAGCAATGCCACCAAGACCTGGTGGTGGGAAGACCCGGTCTCCCTGACTTTGCAGTGTGAGGCCCTCGGAAGGGGGAGTTTCTTATGACCACGTGGATCATAAATGTCCAAGGAGAAGGAAGGAGCACAGGAAGGAGTCATCCTAGAATGTTGTAAAGTCAGGGTTCACTGCAAACAGAGCCCACTGAACTACGGCGCTGAGGTTGGAATGTGGTCGGTCACCTCACGGCTCTAGGTGAGACTCACTTCCTGTTGTAGCAGTGTGGGGACACGGGGCCTTTAAGAGGTACAGTAATTGGGTCCTGAGCCCTCCACCTTTAGGAATGGGTCAATTTATTCATGGGTTAATGGGTTCTTGCAAGAGAGGCTTTGTTGTAGAAGTGAGCTATGCCTGACATCCTCGCTCTGCTCAGTATGTGGCAGCTTTCACCATGTTGTGATGCAGCTCGAGGCCCTCACAGATGCTGAGATCATACCAGTGTCATGCTCTTGGACTTTCCAGTCTCCAAAACTGGGGATTAAACAAACCTCTATTCTTTATCAATGATAAGACCTCAGGTATTCTGTTATAGTCACAGAAAAATGGACTAAGACATAGAGGTTATTATTTTTACTGTGCTATATACTAATGAGACCCTAAGTCCCAAATCAATGTTTACATTTTGCAAATACAGAACTTCTTGCCCTAGATCAGCCCCAAACCATACTTACATTTCAAAGAGAGGGATATGAATACATTACTAGAAAGGATGGCAGAGGTTCTTGGAAGGACGGACCCTGAAGGCATTGTGAGTGATGAGGCACTCAAAAACTAGCCCTCCTTGTGAAGCACAGCTGGGCTCGCTGCCCCAAGTTTGTGGACCACACTGTCCTTAGAGATCTCCTGCCCTGCCTGGGACTTTACCAGGAGGCTCAGCAGGTGGCGGTTCTCTCTCCCTGCCTGGTCTTTATTTTCAATCCTTTTTATGAGACCAGTGGGACTTTTGGCTAATAACACTGCAGTCGAGTTAGCCTCATCTTGTTGCCACACTGCTTCCAGAACTTTCAGGGGAGGCACTGAGGGTCCCGTGCTGGGACCCTCCATGTGTAACATCCCTACAATGTATTCCTAAGTAGCAGCATCTCGTTCCTAAAAGACATTCTCCTTCTGTCTCCAGCCATGTTTCAACAGTCATTCACTAGCAGAGGTTTTATCGGTAATAAATGTGGTAAGTGCTGGGCAACTGTGGGAAACAAGGAAGATATGGCCCTGCACCTTGGTCTCATGGGGGCATTTGTTTATACAAGAAACAGGGTTATGTACTGGGGGTTTCATATAAGACGAGAAACACGTGTTCCTAAGAGAAGCCATTAGCCAAGACTTGAGGAGCATCAGGTAAGACTTGCTAGAGGAAGGCGAGTAGGAGTCGTCTTGGTGATGGGGGGGGGCAGTGGAATAGGCAAGAAGGTGCTAGAAAGAAAAATAGATTTCCACAGGTCCTGAAACCAGTGTGTAGAGCCTGAGTTTAAGGAACTGAGCAATCACTGTGGGAAAAGTACAGGAAGGAGAGGGCACCAAGTCGGAGGCCAAGACACAGGCAGGACAGGGCGTGTGCACCTTGGAGCTCTGTTGAGGAGTTTGAATTTTATCTTAAGAGTAATTGGGGGCCATCAAAGGATTTTAACCAGAGATGCCATGACCTCATTTGCATTTTATGAACTACTCTTGGTGATGGGTCAGAGAACTGTTGAATAGCAGACAAGTCTGGAGGCCAATGATCAAAGGGAGGAGTTGCAGAAGGGCTTGAATAGGGTGGTGAATACACTGGGGGTAATTGGCAGACAGAATCAGTTGGTGATTAACTTAGTCTGTGTGTATTGCTATGACAAAATACCATAAACTGGGTGCCTTATAAGCCACCAAACTTTTTTCCCATAATTCTGGAGACTGAAAGTCCAAGATCATCAAGGTACCAGCAGATTCTGTGTCTTCTAAGGGCTTTCTCACTATGTCCTTCCATGGCAGTAGGAGCAAGGCAGCTCCCTGGGGCCTCTTTTCTAGGGCACTAATCTCATTTGTGAGGGCCCCAGCTCTCCTGATTCAATCACCGCCCAGACCTCCTAATACTATCATGGTGGAGACTGGGTTTAAGATATGAATTGGGAGGAACACAAGCTCTCAGACAATCACAGTGATGTGCAAGAGTCAAGTGGCCTGGGGAAGTATCTTGGAAAACTGAAGCAGCAAACTCAGGACCTAAGGAGTTGATCTGTGGGTCAAAGGAATGACTTCAGATGGGGACATATAGAGTCTAAAGTTTCAGTACATCACTAGCTATACGAGTCTAGCAAAAATGACATTTCACTGTATGCTGTTATTTGGCTGTCTTTTCACTTTATACCAAGTTATTTATTATCTTGAGTTCATACATTGAACTTACAAAAGATAACTTGAGTAAATCTTAAATGTATTAAAACATGTTGTGATAATAGGGATTTCATAACGTTCTCACAAAGATACTCCTACTTCTGAATATCACTTC